TGTCTTGCAAGGAGACACTCAAAAGACTGGAATATTTCAATATGGGAGCGAGAAGGGGGATGACTGTTTACAGAACTGGGAAGGCAGTGGATGAGGTCAGTGTGCAACAGTAACTCTCCAAATTCTGCAGTATTAGAGCTCAGTGACAGCAGGTAAGGTAGGAGACTGATTTAAAGCAGATGTATAATGTGCATAATGTAGTGAACTTCTGGAATTTGGTCCCATGGGGAATTGTGGAAGCAGTTGGGTATCGGCAGGTTTAAGAAGAGGTTAAACAAATGCATGCACAACTGAACCATAAACAAATACTGAAGGGAATGGACTTCAGTGTCCCTACTTAAAACAGTTAGGGATGCTGGGGAAATATAATAGGTATGCATGATAGGCTTATATGGTCTCCCTAGATAATACTTGCCGTTGCCAGTGATGAAGGTGGGGTTAGATCGACCATTGGTCAGACCTAGAAGGGCAGTTTTTATGTTCCAGTTATGGGCATGAGGAAGAACACTCTTAAAATGAGGATGGAAAACAGTATTGAAGTATTTAGTATATACACTGAGTATTATATATTGTATTCAGTATTGTATATACTGAATATATATATATATATTCAGTATATACACCGAGTATTCCCTCCTTGGGATGTTGTGGTTCTGTACATTTTATCAATGAGCATTTTACTATAGAAATGTGACAGTTGCTTCAAAATTTTGATGCGCTGCTTAGCTGTGGCAATGATGAGGAAGGTCAGCTACGACTTGGAAAATGCTGCTGCACAGAACATGCTCTGCTAAACCAGCTATTCAGAAGCACCGAGTCTCCTTTTTAAAGGACTTACGAAGAAGCTTTCAAACTCTAGCTCGTAAGTGACTTGGAGGATCAAAATTTAGTTCAGGTGAATAAAAAGATTTGAAAAGGAAAATTAGTTTATTGACAAATGAAAAGTTTACTATTTTGCATACTGTAACCATTGTCCTTCATTATAGCTTCAGGTTTGTTTTATTCAGACTCATGCATGTTAACTTAATTATCTTGTAGAATGTTGCTCATTCGTGTGTGGCATGAAGCGGAAAGCTGATTTCCAAACACCAGGTTCTCAGAAATTAATTAAATTCTGACTTTAAGTTACTGTTCAAGGTGAAAACACAAGCCAGACATACCATGGTACTCTAGTTCATTACACTATTTTGGTAGTCCTTTCTAAATGTATTAAAACCACCTTAAATACTCTTTGATTTGTCTCAAAGGGAAGAAATTTAGGTTGTCCTGGCTAGGTCTTTACCAGCTTGTTGTAGTTAACTCAGCAACCCACTTCCAATTTATGTTGGGTGCCAGAGTTCGGGCAACCTGAATGTAAATGTTTGTGTCTCTGAAGCAGGCATATGCTGCAGGAAACAAAACCCTGTACTACTAAATTTAATAGTTTATCTCACAATCACTTTAACATTTCAAATTAAAGGGATAACAGCAAGCGAAGGTAAGTGGAGGTGGGTAGAATTACAGTGTTGGTTTATACCATCTGTGCTCGCAACGTTTTCTTTCTTTTTGAATGGCTAGTGTTTAGCCTTATGGCTTCTGATAACTGCGGTGATACTAAAGGTTTTCTCTTTAGTTTTTGAATTTCCAGTTGGAGTACCTGAGTCTAGCCAACCAACTAGAAAACTGTTTCCATTGTAGTAGAAATAGTCTTGGAGATTATGGTTTCCTTGGTAATGCTGTGAAGTCATGATCTGAATTTGAAAAATGGGAGTTAAATATACATTGTGAAAATACGCCTCAATTCTGAAAGCTAGCTGTGAGAGCTTGCTTAGACTTGCTCATTTAGTGTTGCTCATCGTACATCTGTGTCATTTTGAATGTGTTATCTTCATGGCACCAGGCTATCAGAGCAAAAGTCTCTTGAAAAATGACTGTTCCAGTTGAGATTTTTATACTGTGGTAGTACTGGCAGTGTTTCAGACTTCATTCAGCACTGAAGTTTAGGATATTAAAAGAAAGGAGACAGTTTCTGAATTAACCAGGTTACGAGAATTCTGAATCTAAATAAATGGCCTTTTCTTCTTTTCACATCTGTTCTGTTTTTGTGCAGGTCCTCATGCTGAAACCGCCAGTGGATGCCAGAACTTGCAGTGTGGTTTTCGGGCCTGCTGCCGCTCTGGCGAATGACCGCTGACTTCTGATCTTTCAGTCTACTTCATTTAGCTGAGCAGGCTTCCTTTCATGCACTTTACTTACAGTTCGCATCTTGTGTTAACAATCCTTGGAGTGAGATTTGTTTCTACTAGCCTGACCCTGCCCACAACTTCAAAATCTTAATTATGAGTGTACTGTACAGTGTTGTAACAATCTCACAAAATCTCATTTGGTTTGAAGGGTGTTGGGTTTTGTTTTACTTAATTTGGGGAAGATGGGAAAACATTCTGATTTTTTTTTTTAATGCCACTTTCTTCCAAGTTTGGCACTTAAATATACTTTACTGGATTATTTTGTGTTAAGTGGATGTTTTTTTATTTTGAATCCATAAGTACCATATAAAGCTCTGCAGAGAATTTGAAATGTACTGTTTGTATCTGGGTAACAATTATACATCTTTAGGAGCCTTGTTTCTCCCCCTTTCCTCTCACCCTGAAGTCGTTCTTTATATTGCAAAACTAGGGAAATTCCCACCTTCCTTTTGCATTTGGTTTTGTATTTGGGCTTGAAAGACATACTCAAATAAAACATTCCCACCAACAAAAAATTTATGTAGCAGTTGAATATATATGCTCTGAAGACACGATATCCAGGCGTACTATGCCAGTAGGCTGCAGAGATTGGGTGGGTGGGTGTTGTGGTGGTTGCAGAGCTGTGAACCTTGCAGTGTGTGGGGGGGGTTGTTTTGGGTTGTTTGGTTTTTTTCTTCCCTGTGTTAAGATGTGTTTTTAGAACAACTTCAAGGGAACTTGAACTTCATTCATATGAAACCTGTGGAAGACAGTGATACATTTTCCCCATTGCTTTGATTCTTTTTTTTTTTTTTAAAGACCCCTCATTGAACAGTAGAGACTAGCAGGGAGGCAGAGAATCCATTGCTGGGCCGAGTGAAACCTGTGCTAGGAAGGGTGATGAGTAATGCCGGAGCGGTGGGGGGTGGCGGGGGGAAGAGCCTGTTGCAGGAAGAAGTGAGCATTGCAGCCCCTGCTAAGTTGCAAACTTTAATGGCCACTTGCTTGTGTGACTGGCATAGCTGCAGGTGGCTTTTCTCTTGGGCAGTGGAGGGGCTGGTGGCAGCCTTTGTAAAAGGCAAGACAAATCCTGCCTAATTTTGAAGGCTGGCAATATGTCAAACTATTACTTTTTACCTTTTTTACTAATTGGCTAAGGTCTTTTGAGTTGTATTTATTTACGACAGCAGTCATGGTGACAGATAACAGCTTAAAAGATTGTTGGTGTCTGGGAAGTCAGCCTGCAGGCATAGCTGGAGATTACAATAAACTGCCAAGTTTTGACACTTGTTTTGTTCCCGCTAATACTGAAGAGTAGTAAGGTAAGAAAAATATAAGTGAATGTAGAATTGGTGCAGAGTTGGCTGTTCATGGTTACCAGCTGAACGTGGGCTAGTGGCAGAATGTACAGTGCTCAGTTAGAAGCCTACAGAAGGGGTATAAAATGATGCTATTATTGCAGCAACTGCTGCTTCAAGTAAGCTGCATTTAAATTTACTTTGGTGCCCATTTGTGCAATGCTGGCTGAGGCAAAGCTGAGAGGAGTAAGGTACACAGTGGGTTTTCTTGCATCTGTCCCTGTTCCAGACCTCTTTTGTTTCTGAGGCTGGGAAGATACGGCCGGAGGTCCTTCTCCTCCTTGCTGCTAGGTGGTAGTTTCCATGCAGACTGGTAGAGACACAGCTGAGGTGTGTGAAATCAGCTTGCAGAAAGTTCTGTTCACTTGCACCATGTTTCTTCTTTACCCTTCTCTGAAGGGGAGCTGCACTAAACCTGGGAGCTACCATCAATGTTCAGCAAAGCACCATGTGATGACAGTGTAGCTACTTGCTGGTGGAGGCTTATAGGGGGAACCTGTGGTGGCAACCACAGGCTCTAAACCAAAGAGTCTGTGTCTAGTATTTATTAGATGGACTGAGTGTAGTTTGGAATTAAGCTGAAGAACAATCTTAACTTTGATCTGCTCTGATGAACATCCTTCCTAGCTCAACTCACCATCATTTTTGCTTGGAATAGTTTGATTAGTAAGGTAACTGCAGGAAAGGAATATCTATTTGCATCAGCAGTAACATCACTACATACACAGTAATAAGTGAATTCGATTTTTTAGTAAACTATTCTTTCAGTAATCTTTCACTAGGGCTTAACTTGCAGCTAAGGTTCTCAGACTCCAAAGTAGTTTAATCAAATACTTGTATAAAATGAATGAGCTTCCACTTAAGTTTTGGTATAAATATTTATTAAATACTTTGTCTTTAACTTTTAAAGAAAATATTGTCTTACACCTCGAAATGGTGCTGGCCTTGTACAGACACTAAGAAGTAGCAGAAGCACCAACTTCTTAAACTGAAGTATGGCCTTCACTGATGGCTCTTTGGTGCATGGAATTTATTCATGGGTAAATAGTCCTGGTCTTCACTCAGGAACTTGGGTACTGGAAAGCTGTAACTATTTGTATTGTAACTGAATGATGGTGTCTTTGAAGAGGAAGAAGGTCTGTAGCTAAAATAAACTGACTAGCTAAAAACATAATGTTCAATGCATGAATCCAGGAACCAGGTTTCACCTGAGAATAAGGTGGCCAAACTCTACCATTTGACTCTGCAATGTCACTGTATGTGGGCATGTGTAATGCTTTTAAGTGTGTGATGTCCCACTGGGAGCTATAGAACACTGTATAAAAAAATCACTTAATAGTACTGGAATTTTAAGCTGTTAGTCTTTTCCTTAGTGACAGTAAGTAATGTCTTCAAGTGGTTGAAGGGTGAATAAAGCTCATGTGTTTGCAGCTACTAAAAATCAGGTTGTCATTCTATTTTCAAAATGCTTGGCATAGCTCAAAGCAGTAGTGTGAGAAATCTGTTATATTTACCCTACACAAGCTAATTTCTTGAAGTATTCCGACTGGTCTGTACTACCTATTTCGAACAAGTGAAGCAATGTAAATCCATACAGAGAGAACATTTTGGGGATAAGCATGAATATACACGGCTAGAGCAAATTCAACATTGGAAACATCAATCGTATGAACTCCTGTGCTGTATACAGCTTCTATTAAAGGTCTGACTTCAGAAAATGGCCTATGAATAGGAAATCCAGAGACCTGGGAGAAAGGAGGAAAAAACACATACGGTAAGAAGAACAGGTAAATAAACACATAGTTTTAAAAATCTGCTTTACTGTGCATGTAAATTTATTTTTTCTATTGCTGGCCTGAGGAAAGGCAATTAAAAAAAAGCCCATTTTGTATTTTAATATCACCTCTCTATTTCCTATACTCCAGCCAGGCTTTGACATTTTTCCTCTTTAGTCTGGGTTAAGTTCAAAGTGAAGATGTTTATTCTATATTATTGAACACATCCAGCATAACTGCTGCTTTTCTGCTTCTTAATTGGTTTTAATTCATTGTGTTCTCTTGTCTGCACTGGCTGGGGATGTGAGGTGGCAAGTGTCTCCTGCCCATAATACATTTCAGGTCCAACAGGAACTGAAACCTCAACTCACTCTGAAAATTGCCATAGTTGTACACCGCATTATTGCCACGTGTGTTTTACATGAAGGGCAGAAGGACCTTTAGAACAGCCTGCAGGAAGAATGCATGGGTGCACCGTTGGCTGCAGTCAATCCTTGAGCAAATTTTCTTCTGTCTTTAAAGGGTGGAGCAAAGGCTAAAAATTTTAAGTAAAGCATGTTGTTGCATGGGCTCCTGCCCCTGTATGTAGCCACTGCCAGGTTCTTACTGACCAGCCTTAAGAGCTAATGCACCAATTGGCCCATAAGCATCCTGTGCTCAGAGACTGCACTTGTATGTATGGATGTATTGGAGGTAGTGACTGTTGTGGTACAGCAGTACTACAAGAACAACGCAGCCAGTTTATCTTTACATTCTTATCTTTATGTTCAACAGAAGATTTTATCTCCAACATCTACAAATAAAATAAATCACCCCTCCTTTGCTCTCTAAATATTACACTGGTTTATCTTTAGCGTAAAAGCTTTTGTGACTTTTGGTAGCAGAGGAAATAAATAGCCTAGGACCCTCTTCTATACCACAAAGTAGTGATACTAAATCCTAGGGATTTAGATTCCTGTTTCTGTGCACAAGCCAGGTATGTTGACAGCTGTACCCTGTAATCTCCTAGCTGTTTTTGCAGCTCTGCCTGATGGTTGTCTTCTACATCTTTGCCTTGGTTTTTTTCCAGCAGTGGCAGAAAGTTACGTAGGGTAGAGGTACAGTATCTGTTCCAACGAGTTAGATGCCTTGGTCTCCATTCCATAATCTTATCTTTTAATATTTTTTCAATCCTGCAGTAAAATACACTGATTATTACAAGGCTAGTATTTACTGAACATAGGAACTGATCTCCCTTGACACACTTGGTACAGATTACAAGGAACACAAATGACCTCAGCTGAATTTGCCCAGGAATGCAATGCCAATGTAGCTATATGGGGCCTGCATGTTTGTTAACAGGGCTAGGGGCTTACAGCCCTTTTGGACCACACCCTCTAATCCCTCTACAGCATTTTGGCTTATTAGGAAACTTTACAGCAATGCTTAATCACTTCTTTCTACCTGGTAACCTCTATTAAAATAGAGAGAAAACTTTTAAAAACACTGCAAGCTATGGTTTCTGATTGTAGGCCATTCTCAAATCCTATCAATCACTCAAAGCAGGTTTTTAGGACCTAGGTATGAACATGCTTGAGGAATATAAGAAGGTGCTCCAACTCTACTGCTCTACAGCAACAGCATTTGTTTCAGAGGTAGAATTACCTGCCCTGCAGTTCCACCGCAGCAGCCTTGTCCGAATGCTGATATACTAATTCTTCAGGCTAGCAATAAAGAATAAGTTTAAATGTTAGAAAGCACAAACTCTTCTAGCTATACTGCAGTGTAACTTCAGGAGTTAACTGCCTTGCTGGTACGTGCATGCATTCACAATTATGCTAAAATAATCAATTTTTTAGTAGAGATAATAAAAATAGTAATGAGATATTTGTGTGTAATGCTGGTGTTTTTTTATTTTCCTAGTAAACTTCAACAGCTTTACCTTCGATAAACTAGAAAAATTCCTGTTTGTTTACTAAGGATGTGTGTACAGCTTGAAATAGTGCCTTCCGAGCTGTAAGAGAAAAGTTGACATTTTTGTTACAACACCAAGGCACTTCTTTGGATAAGGTTGTGTTAAAGATTTGTCCCGTTTACTTCACTGTTGTCTGAGAACTGCCACAGATATTTAGAGGACAAGAGATGTGCATTCATTCTGTATAAAACCAAATAGTTTGCTATATTCCTGCATTCATTTTTTTAAGAAGTGCCTAGGAAAATCTTTTTAAAACTCAATGCTATTACATAAGTATACTTAACCACGGAAGTCCAAATAACTTAGTCTCTGTTTCTTTATACCAGGTCTGTGATCTCTCAACCCCTCAGATCGAGTTGCTAATAGATACATTAATACCTGAATGCTGTGGAGACCAGGGTAGGGCAAGCTTCTGGAGAAGAACGACTTCCAAAGTTTTGGTTTGCTGATATCAAAGTTTATCCTTATTGGGGAATCATATTCTTGCATATTAAACCAAATCTATAAGAAAGCAAGTTTGTTTTAACTTTCAGTGTATAATCACAGCTATGGAACACACACATTCCACTTGCATGAAAATAAAATACTATATAATCTTGCCCTCCTTACAGCAATTACCAATATGAGTTCATATGAAATAAGGTAATCTTGTATAGTCCCAGCTGATGGGCAAATTTTGCATTCTTGCATCAAGAGGGATGGTGCTGGTCTGTCATGCCTTGTGCTTCTCACTGTGGTTGGAGACCAGA